CTAGGAATTACTTTTTTTTTTACTATGAAGGCAACCCCATTTTTCCTTGTCTTTTCATCTTCAGAGTAATATATCATATGGTCATCTGACTCAAAATGCCCCATGCCAATCCATCTCATCTCTCCAATGCCTAATATGTCAATATTTATGCCTTCCATTTCTTTCTTAACAGAGTAAGTAAACTTTTTAAAAATTCATTTAGCACTCTTACAGGCCATTCTTCAAGGAGTTGTACTGACAACATAAAGTCTCAAGTTCAAATCCACTATAGGAGAAGGATAGGCAACCTCCTCCTGTGTGATTTATAGTCACCGAAAATCTGCTGATGGTCACCTATGACCATCAGACTTAACTGCATATAACAATAACAGCCTAAATTTACTGAAGACAAATTAGCTGGCTTGTATCATGTATAAATACCTTTACTTCTTTAGTAATTTCTTCAGATCACAATCATATAGTCCCTGAGGCAAAAATTCTTCATAGAATTTGCCTTTAAAAGTATTGAATATTTGTGGTATAGAGACATATATTTGATTAAGATTTTTCAAAACTTACTAATCCTGATTTTTAAAAAGTTCAATATTTTTTAAGTGTACTCAGAATTATCTGTGGATGTGTTGCTCAAATACGATTTGAAAACATTTTTGACAACTAACTGATATATGCTGTGGGTTTGAATATAAACTCAAGCTCAAAGTCATGACTGTTGAGTTAAAACTGACTTATTGCTGAGTCTTGAGTGGGTTTTCAGAGGCTGTAAATAGCACTGGAGGAGACTGTCCATGCTTGTTCTGTGCAGCTGCTGGTGGAGTCAAACGACAAGAAAGGCACAACCTATTGGGTTAGTAGCACCACTCCCTACAGAGAGTCTGTTCACATATTTGACTACTGCTCAGCCAAACTGTAATTATTTGGAATTATAGATCCAAATAATTATAGACACAAATACAAGGCATATGCAGCCGCTGCCTCCCACTTTGAGAGTGATAATTCAGAATATCAGTGAGTTTATAATTTGTAAATCTATTTTTAAATCATCTTTTCAGACTCTATGTGATGATCTTGGAATATTTACATATGATTATTAACCACATTTCAAATTCTTTGAGGAATACCACTCACCCTCTGTTACATTTGGCTATTTCATCAAACAAAATTTTCCACCGAGGGCGTCCAATAAAAAGTCTTGAATTCAGGGCTTGATATTTTTCTCCAATTATTTTCTACAAGAGAAAGATATTTTATATCACTAACAGATTTAGAAAGAGAAGTAATTTTCTCTAACATAATTTTTACTAATTATGTGGCTTCCTACTAAAAATCTATAATGTAAAGAATATAAATATGTGAGAAACAGGCTAGGATCCTGGCTTGCTTAGACATATCATGCCATTCCTCGACACCAAAGACCTGAGAACCAAGCAAAACCGATTGTAGATGATAATTTTGAAACTTTGAATAGAAAGTGTATGGTTAAAGAAGTGAATAGTGATTATAATAAGAAATTGAAGCAACACAGTGAATCAGGAGTAATATGGAACAGAATGCTCTGCCAGGCTTGGCATGGCCATCTTAAAGTAAAACTACTAGAAACCTCAGGAGACAAGGGCAAGCTGAGCTGAAATCCCAGAGGCAAATGGTCCAAGTCCAACAGTTGCTCCACAGGAAAAGAATGGATAATCTCCTCCCATGCAATTTACTGCCTCTGAAAACTCATTAGAAGGTAAGCTATGAGTTGGATCCGACTGGACAGCAAACCACAACAACAATGAGAGAGAGAGAAACTATGTGGACCCATCTTGAAGGAAAAAAGATGAGTGGACATAATCTGAAGCTAAGGAGGAAAAGTACAAGAAGTGGGAACAGCATACTAGCAATCATGGCATCTGCACAGTAGGGATAAAGCCAGAGTTTGGGGTTACATATAATCATAAGTGATGATCCCTAATCATTAAGCTTCGTAGTGCACACAAAGCAACAGATCCAAAGTGCCAACAGGAGATTAATAGCCATATATAAATCTGGCTGTGATCAGATCCCACACATCCATTAAACCACCAATGAGCCTCCCATGACTTGGAGAGTGGTGACAGATGGTCATATTTCTGTATGCTCACCAACTTGCCTGCCTGGTTCCATTCTCACAACTCAGTAAGCAGTGGTACCCACATTCCAGTGTGCTCACTTGACCATTTGCCTCCCATTCCCCTAACCAATCAAGTGGTGGCAACCTGGCTATCACCCATAATTCTGTCTCCCTTTCACAAACTGAGTAGTGACTAACCATATGTTCCCGTGCCTAGACTTTCTCATCTCTCACTTCCCCGCCTCATACGCACAACTTACAGTGGCAACTATGTGTTTCCACCTGACTTGCACCCATTCCTTGACTTGGCTAGAAGAGAGCCTTACCTCCCTTTAAAAAAAATCCACCAAACTACTTTGTCAATCCTACAAGCAGAAGATAATCCACTCCTGCACTCTGACACACCCATCATAACTCTTGTCTAACCTATTTGTCAAGTGACATTACCTATTCCTACAACACTAGACCACTGGCAGCTGATGCCCAATGCCTATCTAAGCCATCTTCATCTGAACTGCACTAGTGAAAAAAGAGACTTAAACTCAAATTGTCAATCACTATCTCAAGCTTATCTAAAGACATATGATGGGTACTCCAGTGCTACTGGTATAGGCACCGGTATGACATACTCATCATGTCTTCTCAGATACATAAAAACAACATAAGAAAAAAAATCAGGGCAAGGTAAACAAACACTGCATAACCAAAGCTACTGCTGTGAAGCTGGTTCCAACCCATAATGGCCTCCATCAGGTTTCCAAAGTTGTAAATATTTACAGGAGGAGAGTGCTCATCTTTTTTCTCCCACGAAGTGGCGGGATAAGCTTGAACTGCTGACCTTTCCATTATCAGCCCAAAATGTTACACACTAAAATACCAGGGCTCCTCAAACAAACGTATAAACAATCAATAAATGAATATCTGAACACTTCAGAAATAACAAATAATAACAACTGATATATGACATTCCAGAAGATCAGGGAAGATTAAGGAAAATATTGAGAGACAATATAAAACAAAAAGAAACAACAAACACAGTAGATCTCTGTAAGAATAATGGGAAAAATATAAAAAAGATAAACACGTTAACAACAACTAGAAGATTAACAACATTTCAGAAATAGACATGGAAGAATGTAGGAGAACGGAAGCAATTGAAGACAAAATCAGTGAAAATACAGAGTAGATCCTTAGCCACTAATTTTGTTGAAAAACAATCAGAAAACAAGAGCAAAGAAAAATGCAGAAAGCATTAATAATTATTATGGGAGATACTATCAATAAAAATAACTTACGTGTTAGAAGGATCTGAGAACAGGCTTCTTAAAAAGTAAAACAAAAAAAAGTACATAGCAAATTTCTGAGGATTTGAAAATTTACTGAGAGTCATTTCTGTAACACACAATGACTGTAACAATAGGCTCAAGTGTGTCAGAGAGGAGGAAGATGGCACAGGATAGGGGAGGGTTCAGATCTGCTGTTCACTGTGTCTATACTGTAATGGATCTGATGGTACCTAACAATACTTGCCTAATATCATGTAAGATAAGGAGATATTCAACTAAGAAAGACAGCACACTACATAAAGGATGGATTTTCCTCGAATCACAAAGACACATCAAAATTAAACTCTCCAAATACAAAGAAGGAATCATGAGAGAAACATGTACAAAAATGAAAATGTTATCTATGAAGGAGGATTAATTAACATATGCTTTAATTTCTTGGCATAAACCATAGAGGAAAGAAGGCAAGAGATGACATTAAAACACTAAAAGAAAACCAAAGAACAGCAAAAACACCTTTGCCAAACAAGAATTACATACCCAGGAAAACTGTCTTCTAAATATTATACTGAAACTAGGACATTTTGAAATAGTAAGTTAAATTTGCAATTAATATTAAAGGGCTTCTATTGGATAGAGAACAGGTAATATCAGGCAACAACACCAGATTAAGACAAGAGACAGCATCACTCAGGCAACACTTTAGATAAAGAATTCTGTAATGATAAATGTTGTTGTTGTTGTTATGTGCTGTTGAGTCGCTTGCGACTCATAGCGACCCTATGTACAACAGCCCTAAACTCCGCTCTGTCCTGTGCCAATCACACTGTCTCTGACACTCCCATCCCAATTAAATACATAAAAAATTTTAAAACATGGATCAATCTGAAAGATATTAGGTCAAATGAAATAAGTTAGCAGCAAAAGGACAAATAATATAGAGAACACTATTAACAAATTGTGCTGGCAAAATTAGAGACTCATCTGCAGAAAACTGGGGAAAAAAAAGAGCAACATTTCACAACATACACAAATCAACTCAAAGTGGATCATGGACATAGGGGTAAAATAAAACAAAACAAAACAAAAACAAATTATCAAGATCATCAGAGAAAAAAAATGGAACAAATCTAGAAGCCTTAATCTATAGCATTAATAGACTTTCAAGCATAACCAAAACTCCACAACCAGGAGAGGATAAAATAGATAAATGAGACCTTCCAATAATTAAATCCTATGTGCATAAATATGTTCTTCAATAGAGTAAAAAGGAACCCACATACTTAGAAAAATATTTGGTGATGACCTATCTGATAAGAGACTCTTATCTAAAATGTATAAACTATTCCAGCATCTCAACTTTAAAAAGACAAATAACTGCCAATCACAAAATGGGCAGAAGAGATGAATAGATGCTCTACCAAAGAAGAAAGTCAGATGACCAAGAAGCACATGAAGGAATACTCAGTCACTAGCTATTGTTGCTATTGTTAGGTGCTGTCAAGTTGAGTATGATTCATAGCTACTCTATGAACAGACAACCTGGAACCTGCCCTACCCTGTGCCATCCTCATCATCTCCGAAACACTACAGCACACTGCTGAAGTCACAGTGTCAATTTATCTTGTTGGGGTCAATCTCTCCTTCACTGATCCTCTAACTATCCAAGCATGATGTCTTTTCCCATGAAACACCCTCACCTAGCTACATGTGCAAAGTATGAAAGATGAAGTTTCATATTCTTTGTCTCCAAGGAACACTCTGGCTGTACCCTTTATAGGACATACCTGTTTGTTCTTTTGGCAGTCTATGGGATATTCAGTATTCTTCTCCTAAAGCACAACTCAAAGGCATCAATTCTTTTGTTATCTTTATTCACTGTCCATCTCTCCGATGGGTAGCAAGTGATTGAGACTTCAAACTGATATAATTGCTTTCAGTATTCTGGAGAGTTCCCTGAGAGGAGACTTGCCCAATGCAATATGTCTCCTTATCTTCTAACTGCTAGAACAAAAGGTGTTGACTGTTGATCTAAGCAAGATGAAATTAGTGAGTTTCTCTCTTTTCTCCATCTTTGTCTTTTTGATGTTGAGATGTAATCCATGCCATAGTCCTTGATCTTCTGCAGCAAGAATTTCATATCCTTCTCACTTTCAGCAAGTTAAGTTGTATCATCAGCTTAACACAGGTCGTTGATGAGTTGCCTCCATTCCTGATGTCACACTCCTTTTCACAGAGTCTGGCTTTGCAAATTATTTGTTCAGAATATAGACTGAATAGGTATGGAGAAAGATTATAACCATGACCCACACCGTTCCTGATCTTAAAACACACAGTGTTCCTTTGCTCTGTTCATATGATACCTTATTAGTCTAGGTATAGATTCCATATGAGCACAAGTAAGTGTTCTGAGATTCCTATTTTTCTCATCATGAGCCATAATTTGTTATGATCCACACAGTAAAAAGCCTTGGCATAGTCAATAAAACCATGTACTAGCTATTAGAAGTAAATGAAATAACCAGTTCATAAAGATAATAGTCCAGATCCTACTGTGGTGAGTAGTGCCTGGAGTCTTAAAAGCTTGAGAATTGTGATCTAAGATGAAATTGCCAGTATTTTCCCCAGCTAAAAAAAGAGGATAATGAAAACCTATGGCTCAAATAAGAAATAGGAAAGGTCTAAGGACATACATAAGCAATGTTGTTGTGGTGTACCACAGAGTCAGAACCAACACATAGCTGACCCTCTGGTGGGTTTTCAGAGGCAATTAATCACACAGAAGGAGACTGTCCATTTACACGGCCACCAGAGCCTCCTCTAATCCTGAGACCAAAAGAAGTTAAGTAGATGGTACTTAGCTATGATAGTTCATATTGCTGGGGACCACAATAGAAGGTCACAGTTAGAATGGGCAAAAATGTAGAATAAAATTCAAAGTAAAACACAACAACTCAGACATACTGATCTTAAAAGAATCTGGAGGAATCCCTAAGCCTATTGCCCGAAGCCTATCTTCTAACTTAAAATTAAGATATATTGAAATGAGTTTTGTTTCAATTTAACTATGCTAGAAATCATACTAGGGGAAAAAAAAAAGGCTTGGGATACTTTCAAAGCAAGAAAAGTATAAATACATGAAAGAAAACAGAAAAATGATATTTGTGAAGGCCTTAACATCCAGATGTAGGTATCTATTCAGTTCTTCAACTGTTGTTTATAAATACTGGTTTCTACATCTGTCAAATGGTAATAATAACATCACCCACTTTTGGAACCTGTTCAGATTATGGGAGGTAATACAAGTGAAATGCTTAGCACAGTACCTAACAGATCAAGGCAAAATAGTTATGAATTTTTTTTCCAGTTTTTCAGGGAGATATAATTGACTTGTATATGACATCATCATCATGATTATCATGTATTAAAAAAACCTCCCAACTAAATAATCCTAGTCTAATGAATCACAAGGCTTCATTTCTGGCCTGTCTTGTAAGGACAAAAAAGTGAAGTCTTGTGAATAAGAGAAGACGGATACATTCAGAATGTCTGTCACACAGTCTCCTGTGAGAGGACAAATGAAAGACACATTATGGTGAATTTCAAGGACAAATGATAAGTATTCGGACACAGTCTAAACTAGAAAACGTCTCTGTGGAACACCTACTAATGTTCTCTCCCAGCACAACTCCTACAGTAAATATATTGTCAAGAGGCTTGTTTAATTTACAGTAAGATTCAATCGCATACCTGTATCCCATCTGATTGACTGAGGTACAGCTGAATGTTGACATAGTCCGGTCTGTTCTCTTGCCAAAACTGAGGAGACATAAAAACGAGAAGACTTATTAAATTCTTTCTGTATGCTCAGACTTTCTCCTATTATCACATACAGAACCCTACAATTTGCTAGTGCATGTCGTGGCTTATCATAGTCACTGCTGATCACAACCATCATCTATGAGCTAGGACACACACACACACACACACACACACACATATATAAACACACACATATATATATACATACACACACTATGAAATGTCATACTAGTCATACTACAAAATACTTCAAACTGTAAAAAGAAAAATTTCATTCTATGTGTATCAATAGCAAAAACTGTAATAATTTTTAAAGAGAATTTTTTCAAAAGCATATTTCAGAATATACATATTCTGATATAATTTGTAGAATATTTACAAGTTATCTCTAAGTAGACTGAGTGGTGATAGTAGTCATGGAAATTTAATTTTATTTTGCATGAAAAATATGCATGAAGATGTATTTGTTTATAGTTTTAATAAACAAAGATGAATAAGCAATAGGTAAGTAAGTTTCCTTTCATTTGCTTTTCTTATTACTTTATACTTCTATGAAAAAAATATTGTTTGTTACAGGTGTATATTCTTACCTACAAACACTGTTATCTGGAAAGACAGGTACAAAGTAATTGACAGAAGATACCTTTGTGTTTCTGGCTTAATGGTTTTCTACCCCCTCTCTGTCATTTATCTGTACATTTTCTCATTTATTCCAAAATAAACATTTGAGAACTTCGTAATATGAAAGATGATTGTTGGATTTGCTTCTAAAAATACAAAACTAAGAACAATTCCAATTTTACCTTGTAATGCAACACACAGAGTAAGTCTGCAAACCAAAGGAAGGACTGAATATCTCTGCACACCCAAATAAAATACAGTCTTCTAAGTTTATATGGTTTCCAGTCATCCCTTTAAAAATAAAATAACACAGTAGGAATTAGGATAGAAAAAAAAAAGAATCACTAGATCCTTAAAAGTTTGTTTTTCATTAGGAAGCAACAGAAAAACCAGTTACATTTTAATATCTGATAGAAGTACTTTCTATCACTTCAAGTAAGTTTAAAATGTAGCATGATAATTTAAAGACATGATGTACTCCATAATTTTAATTATTATAGGTGTAAATTTTATATGCTTGCTACTTGTTTCCAGTAGAAAATACTAAACTCTTGGTTGAAGCTAAAACCAGTTCTTGCACTGAAAGAAAACAAGTACTCTATTTCCAGTGAATTTTAACACTGAACACAGCTCCAATGGGTCGTTCAATTTTATCCTGGCTTCCAAGTTCAATGATCTAAAACTATTCCAGAAAGTTGGTTGTTTATCCACTTCATAATAATTTTTAAAGTAAGAGATTTCACAACCATTTAGTATGTAATATATTCCAGAAATGCACAATTTCAAGTCTAAATTCCTATTTATAATTATGAAGTAAGGAAAAAAATGTTCTTCTCTTTTTGTAACATTAGGTGTTTTAATAATTCATAATGTGTTGTCAGAAACAAAGGTTTTCTGGCTTAAAATATGGTTATTTTTGTCAGAAACCCAAAAAAGTCTCAAATTTCTAGCATGCATTTAAAATTGAAATAAGAGATCATACAAACATATTGTTCCAATTTATTATCTGATTTTTGGCACTTAAATAACAGATGCTTAATAACACAACTGGTGTCTACTTGATTATTAATGGAACTGATTTGAAAATAATTTCCTGCTGTCATCTGTGATGTCACGGCAATTAGTATCAATTAACTTTTTCTTGGAATTTGCCTGAAATTAATGTAACTAGAAGAATATTTTCCATTTATCTATCTTACAATAAAGTTTCCTTCCTCAAGTCTAGTATAAATTTGAGTAACACATCAAGAAATTATGTGTTCATATGCAATATCCTCAGAAAAGTCTCTCCTGACCACATTTCCACAAGAATCTCATATTTTTAATTTCTATATCCTATTACTCTCACTTCTTATCATCATGGTTCGAACCATCCTCTGAATTTTTCTTTTTTTTTTCCTCTGAATTTTTCTATCAATGGATTGTTTACTTATTTATTTTTATGTATACTATACTTGATTATAAATTTCTTAAGCACGGGGACTGTTTCATTAATTCCTGTTTTCCCAGTGATAGGACAGGGCTCAAAGCTGTTGTTCATAGGGTTGCTATGAGTAGTACACAACTCAATGCCACCTTACAACAATAACAAGGAAAGAGATATCATGTGGGGAAAGGCAGAGGATCAACGAAAAAGGAAAAAAGCCCTCAATGAGACATTGACTAGTGGCAATGGCACAGGACAGGGCAAGATTCAGATTTGTCGTTCATAGTTATTATGAGTTGTAGGAAGTTTGTAGGTACCTAACTCTAATTAAGACCAACTGGGTAACAGGAGGAGTTAAATAATAGCTGATGATTGATTGAATGAATTATATACTTTATGCCACTAATGAGGAAGTGGAGAAATCAGGGACCATGACGTGTGATTTTAGAAGAAAGAAAATATTAAGGAATGGAGTCATAGAGCACATGTTGAGAATAACTGAAGTGTTCCCTTCATTGAACTATAAACTGAGGGCCTTGAATAGTTTTCTAAGTAATTATTTAATACTTGCAATGCTCTATACAGACAAATAAAATGAACCAAAATGGCTTACAGAAGAGTGTTGAGTATTGACGCGAAAGGGGTTACTCCAATGCCTCCAGCCACACAGAGACTAATCTCATAATTCAATGATTCTTCAAAAGGACTTCCAAATGGGCCATCAATGTATAGCCTGTAGATATAGGGAAGGCAGACAAAGTTAAGGAAAACAAAAATGAGGTACATTAATTTCCTGTAACATGAAGCAAGCATGCTCAATTCAAGTTTTCCTTTCAGGTCTTTATGATGTTCTTTTTTACATTGCCTCATATTGGAAGTAGAAGTGGCATCCACTTCCTAAACAACATGCCTCCGGAAACTTTCTGAACTTTGATAAATGTCTATAGTTGCAGAAGGGCTTTTGTTCATAGGGTCACTATGAGTCATGACTCGAAGGCAATCAACAACAAACAGCAACAGAGTTAAAAGCCTAAAGAAACGGTAAAAATACTATTCATGAAATATCAATATTCGAGTAAGTGTATATGCTTCTAAATATGTCTTTTTGTGAGGCAGGCTGTTGCTGCCTTTGAGTGAAACTGATTCAGAGTTGACCTTCAACTGAGTTTTCAGAGATTAGAAAAGAGCAGGAAGAGCCTGTCGATCTTCCATCCGTGGAATAGCTGGGGAATGTAACTGCCTGTCTTTGATTTGGCAGTGCAGTTTAAAAAGATGAAGAAAGGTAAATAAGACCCCATGGAGTATCTGAGAACAAATTAAAGTTCCTTTCATTTTTTTTACTAAATTAAAATATAAATTTCCTTGCTTTATCTATTTCAATAAACAACATTCCTCTTGATTTCAAAGTCTAACAAATATTTAATAAAATATTTATATTGAAAACACAAAAATGATAGGAGAAAAAGAACCAAATGTTATTTTTCTTTCTTAAGGTTGTGCCAAGAAATCTGGAGGACATCTACCTGGCTAACTGGGAGAGATCCATATTTATTCCCATCACAAAATAATATAGAAATTATCGTACAATATCACTCATATCACACACAAGTAAAATCCTGCTGAAGATTATTCAGAAATGACTAGAACTATACACTGACAGAGAACTACCAGGAATACAAGTTGGAGTTAGAAGAGGTTGTGGCACTAGAGTCATTACTGCCAATATCAGATGGATCTTGGCAGAAAGCAAAGAGTACCAGGGGGATATCTACATGTGTTTCATTGACTATGCAAAGGAATTTGACTGTTTAGATCACAAAAAATTGTGGTTAACTTTGAGAAGAATGGAAATCCCAGAACACTTGATTGTGCTTATACAAAACCAATACTTGGAACAGGAATCAGTCCTCAGAACAGAGCAGGGAAACACTGCACAGTTCAAAATCAGCAGGCATCCTGTCTCCATACCTTTTCAATCAAAATGCAGAATAGATCATTCTGGAAACTAGGCTTTATGAGTAGGAATGTGGCATCAGGATTTGAGGAAGACTCATCAACAACCTACATTATACAGATGATATAACCTTGTTTACTGAAACTTAGGAGGACGTGAAGCACTTGTTGCAGAAGGTCAGCGACTGTATTCTTCAATATGGATCGAAGCTCAGTATCAAGAAGACAAAGATTCTCACACTGGGCCAGTTAGCAGCACTTGATGTATGGAGAAGAGTTTGAGGTTGTTAACAGTTATAGCTTACTTGGCTACTTAATTAACACTTTTGGCACCACCAGTCAGGAAATCAAAAGGTGAATTGAATTAGACAAATCTGCTGTCAGGAACATTTTCAGAGTCCTGAAAAGTAGCGATGTCAGTCTAGAGACTAAGGTGCACCTGATCCTGTCCATGGCCTTTGCAATTACTTGCTATGCATCAGAGAGCTGGATAATGACTATGGATGATAGAAGAATTGATGCTTTTGAGTTGTGGTGCTGGAGATGAGTCTTGAACATACCATGGACTATCAAGAAAACAAATAGGTCTCTTTTGGAAAGGGTGAAACCAAATTTCTCCTTGAAGGCAAGAAATGTGAAGCTCTTGGACATGTGACCAGGAGAGGATGATCCTTGTAATAGGACATCATGCTTAGAAGGGTGGAAGGACAGCGTAGGAGAGAAAGACCCCAGATGAGAAGGAATGATACAGTAACTAGGGCAACAGGGCAGGTGTGCTGGAGTCAGTGAGACTGGCTCAGGACAGGGAAGGCTTCAGAACTACTGCATATAGGGTTGCAACAAGTTACAGGCGGCTTGATGGTACATAACAACACCAGTTAAGTTTTACATACAGAAGCACTTAGAAGAAAATTTTGAAGGAAACTTGCTTCATATTAAAAGTTTGTAGGATGAGGGGTTTTGCTATGAATGCCCTGAATAGATGCTAGTAGTGGTGGGAAAATTTGGCAAAAAAAAGTGACAAGAACGGTTGTATCATTTGAAGAAAGTTTTAAATGGCACTGAAATATGCACGTAGAAATTAATTAAATACTACATGCTTTATGCATATATCAAAATAACATGTAAGTGATCTTTTTTAGTTGTAGCAAAAATCACTAATTGTTCACTTAATATCTATTCTCAGGTTCTTTCTTAGTAATACATTAATTCAGGAAATCAAAGTGACTAGCCAAATACTGCATTTTCTAGACTAGCTTGCATCTATGTGTGACTATCTTCTGGTCAAGATGGTGACAGTCATAATCATATTAGAACAATACAAATGACTCTTTAGAAGTTGTCTCAATGGGAAGCTGCCATTCCTTTTCGCCTTTCCCTCATTTCCCTGTTCTCCTCCTTTCAAATGTCTACAATGTTGGCAGTCTAAAGAGGTATCCTTGATAAACATAGACTTATATTCTCTATTGATTGCTTAGGTCCAGGATAAATGTTACCATAACCTTTGTGAACTGCCCAACACTAACTTATTTACAAAAGAGAAAAGTAAACATGCACATAAGCTATTTTCATTTAAAATTATTTTTCTAATATTAAAAAAACCTTTATTTTAAAGTGCGTATTTGTTGTCGTATACTGTCGAGTCAGAACTGACCCATAGCTGACCCTTCAGTGGGTTTTCAGAGGCAGTAAATCACAAGGGAGGGGCTTGTCCATCTTTGTATCACCCAGCAGCTGGTGGATTCAAATCACATACCTTCTGTATTGCAGCTCATAACAATCCTAAAAAGAAGCATTCTGAGGGCACCACTAACCAACAGGCCTCACATCTCCAAATGTTCAAGTTCATCAAAGGATCCTCCAGAGAAAGACAGGCAATCTCCTCTCATAACTAACAGCTTTGGAACACAAGGGAGGGGCTTTAACTGAGTTGGAATTAAATGGTAGTAAGTTCTGAGTATCCTGAAAAAAGTGTTTTGCAGTCACACCTGAGATGTACACCTAACAGATAAGAGCCATTGTAGTACATTACTTAAGACTAGGAACCTAAGTGGCCTTAAGAATTAAGTGCACAATGCTGCATTAAAAAACAAGGAACTCATGCAATATTATTCAAAATGGTTGACTCTGGAGAACATTATGCTGAGTGAAATATCCCAGTCACAAAGGGACAAATATTACATGATGCCACTGTTGTAGAATGGGACTGTCCTTGGGGTTGGGGAGAGACTGAGTAAGATGGGTTCAATGATGTGTGCTGCACTGAGGCGGAGGAGGGAGGGAACTGTTTAAAAGAGATATATAACTGGGTGTTTCTGTCATCACACAGGAGTCTAGAGCAAGGGCTGCATGGTGGAGGGGACCTGGGGGGGCGTTTGTGGAACAATGAAAGAATCTTTTCTTTTACTTTTCCATAATTTTTGGACTCATGTACTTATAACTTGTTAGTCAAATTTGTGTCTTCTAGGTTGCAACACCCCCATGATACATCTTCAAGGATATGAACATGTACGGCCAAGCACAATCAATAAGAGTGCATCTAAATTCCAAAATCAATCTCCATAATAGTCTATGTGTTTCCTACTGCCAAAGGGGCCCTTTAGAGTAGTGAGAGAAGATCTTCACCCTGAAACCCACAGCGTCCCTTTTCAGCAGGAAGTAGCTAAGAGAATACGCCATCCCCTTTTCCTTATGACTCAGGGTGAAGTCTCTCTCAGGGAGGAGTGATAGGGAATGGCAAAGGACACACTGACAAAGAAGATTAATCAGAACTGGCTTTGACAAGCACTGTGGCATTTGGACAAGAACAAACTGGGAGGAGGTTAGAGAGAATGGTGCAGCGGTGAATGAATGGAAACCCAAAATCTCTGTAAATGTTTATGAAAATTAATAAAATATGATTATAGAAAAAAAAGAACTGAAAAAAATATAATTACGTGTTAAGCTGATTCTAAATAATGACAATCCTAAATGTGCCAGAGTGGATCTATACTCCATAGAATTTTCCGTATATGTGGGTTTTGGGAAGTAGATTGCCAAGACTTTCTTCTGAGGTACCTCAGAGTATGTCTGAACAGCCAGACTTCTGGTTCACAGTTGAGTCTTTAATTATTTGTGCCATCCTGGGACTCTATTCATTAAAAGAATGAATATACATACACTCCCTTGAGTTCTGAGCTCTCTGGCATACAGACACTGCTGGTCATGGCCATTGTCGCTTCCTCTCCTTCCTGGGAACTCAACATACACATCCTAAAGGCATCTTAAAGGAATTTCTTGCATCCTTATATGAAAACAATACGATAGGTTTAGAGTATAAAAGAAATGCTAGGACATGATGATCTTTGTAAGAAGCTGCTATTGTTGTGTCCTATTGAATCAGACCTGATCCATAGCTGACCTTCCAGTGGGTTTTCAGACTGTAAATAACATGGGAGATTTCCTATCTTTCTCTTGAGAAGCAGCTGGTGGATTTGAAACATGTGTCTTTGAGTGGGCAGTGCAACTCCTTACCACTAGGCCACAAGAGTTCTCTTTTGTTGGACTTGTTATTGTTGCTGTTGTGTACTGTTGAGCCAGAACTCACTCATAGCTGACCCTCCATTGGGTTTTCACAGGCAGTTAATTGCAAGAGGGAGACTGTTCATCTTTCTCCCACCTAGCAGCTGGTCAATTTGGATCATGTGCCTTTGAGTTAGCATAGCAACTCTTTACCACTAAGCCATCATTCTTATTTTTTGTAAGAACTGTTGTTGTTAGGTGCTGTTGAATCAAGTACAA